AATCATTTCTGTGCTCGTTTTTATAACGTGATATTCGATACCTACATCCGCATGCGGATTTGCAGATTTAGGTGCGTATTTTTTCTCGTTTTGGCCCTTGTCGTTATTTGTTCTGCATCTCTTCGCTTTCGAAAGTGACTTTGGTTTCATCTTTGACACAGTTACTCTCTTCTACTCGGTTCGTTCTATACTAACAATGACAAGACGCTGCGTCACGCAGAGGCATTGGCCCTTCACATTGCCTCCTCCTGCGTGGGGTGGTCAGTTTGTTTAGTGCGTCGCCGACCGGCGCGGTATCGGCCTGCGTGCCTGCACTTACTCTCTCCAAACAGTAGCTCCCGAGTGGTGAGGGAACTGGTGAAACCGGCAGCTCAGACCCGCACCGTCAACGAGGAGGATTCAGGGCCTCTCTCTCTCTCTCTCTCTCTCTCTCTCTCTCTCTCTCTCTCTCTCTCTCTCTCTCTCTCTCTCTCTCTCTCTCTCTCTCTCTCTCTCTCTCTCTCTCTCTCCTCTCCTCTCCTCTCCTCTCCTCTCCTCTCCTCTCCTCTCCTCTCTCCTCTCCTCTCCTCTCTTCTCTTCTCCTCTCCTCTCCTCTCCTCTCCTCTCCTCTCCTCTCCTCTCCTCTCCTCTCCTCTCCTCTCCTCTCCTCTCCTCTCCTCTCCTCTCACCTTTCTTCCCCGCCCTTTCCATGTTGTTTTGTCTTATGTGCTTTTTCTCTGGGATAACTGCCAGTCCGCGCGATGTCCGCAATGCCGCATTGCTGCGTCTGCGTGTCCGAACTGCTGCGCTGTGTCCGTGTTCCCGTTTGCACCCCCTACTCTCCGTCCGTCTCGGGCGGGCGCCATCCATCACGGCAGGTCAGAGGGCGGCCCATTAGGAGACGGAACGCCCCCGCCGTCAGCGTGGGGAGATGCATATGGCTGCACCATCGTCAGTGCGGGGAAATGCATAGACCGCCATATCGTCAGCGTGGGGAGATACATAGACTGCCATATCGTCAGCGCAGGGAGACATAGGGAAGACCGTCCCATCGTCAGCGTGGTTAGCTGAATAAACTTCTGTCATCAGCCTGGAAAGGCATACTCCTCGTACCGTTCTATCGCCAGTCCAAATGAGATCCACCATTCTATCGCTAATCCAGGGGAGATACACGACCCACTGCGTAGGTAGTGGGTCGGCCTGTGGCGCTGCCAACTGGCTAAGATGCAGGGAAGATGCACCCTTCTGACTTTTGGTCAGCTCGGGAGCTATAAATCCCCTTACGCTTACCGTGGGCCCGGGGCGACACGTTGTCGATTGCGATGCCGCTGGCCAGGGTGGAATAGCGGCAAATGTGGGAAGTGGTGGTCCTTGTGAACAGTTGGGTCAGACCACACCAGGCTAGGCCGGCATTTGTCTGGGTTGTTGTGAAGGGGATCTCTGCGGCTGTGGAGTGTGGAAGGCGGCCAACTGGAACCGGCGTAGGCAGTGGGTCGGCCTGTGGCGCTGCCAGCTGGCCAAGATGCAAACGGAGCCCTCCCCTGACGACACTGTTCAGAGGAGTCAGTAGGCGGGGTGTCCTACAGGTGTTCTGTACCCGCATCTACTACAGGTGTGAACAAATTGGAAATGTAACACAGCACATGTGTTGTGCCGTACAGAAACGACGTCAGCGCTTAATGAATTTGTAGAAGCGCTTCGATGAACATGTATTATTGCGGGCTTCTTACCGTATCCATGCAGATTCCCAGGCATCAGTGCGCTTTCCAGAAAGCAATCAATCACAGTCAATCAGCATCGTAAGCTACCACTACTTATGTAACAGCCAGACCATTTGATGTTTATTCACATTTTTTAGAACCAATAATAATTGCCGTTTGGCTCACGGTGCATGTCTAGGCCGTTGTTTACCTTCAACGTTTTATACATACAATGTACATGCATTGTACCGGCTGCTCTACATGACGGTGACCGTGACTCAGGGATATGATCCGCTCTGGTCCTCATAGACCGAGCCAGATAGCCCAAAGCCAATGAGCCATTCCAATTCAGCGGGGAGTAACAGCACCAGGCTCCGCCAGCAGTGTTTGTTTTCCGTTCGACCGCGGCTCATTTGGTCTGGTCTGGTCTGCCGGCGTCGGAGGGCTCCCGGTCATCGATCCCACAACTGTCCGTCACCGCCGCCGCCGGCTGCGAGGTTCGTGCGACGGGTCGCCCGCGGGCGGCGCTGCCCAGGCGAGCTCCAACAGTAGACCAGCCCCAGCGCAACCCGCTCTAACCTTATTCCTGGACGAACCAGCTCGCAGTGGCGTTTCCTGGGGGCCATCCCCGCTGGGCGCGGCTCGGGGACCCAGCCCCGCTCGGCGCGGCCCGATCTAGTGGTAGGCCATCTCGATCGATACGGATCACTTGTGCTCAGCCGCCGTCGTCACCCGGTAGTGGGGTGGCAGAGGAGGGAGGGGAGAGAGGGTGCTCTGTCGCCTAGGGTGCAGAGACGGTGGGGACGGATGGGAGGGTGGTCTGTCGCCTGGGGTGATCGTAATGTTCGGGAGGGAACTGTAGAGGTCTGGCCGAATTCGACATGGCTTGAGTTGAAAGTGGAAGGCATGCGGAGCAAAAAGAAACAATCAAGAGCTGAACAGCCTACAGTTGTTATTTGTAACCGTATGTAATGGCATTATGATGTCACGCACGTGGCCGCTGCTTCTGGGATTTGGCAGATGACAGTTCCTCTCGCCACATTTGATGTCTTATCTTAGCTTGTTTTGCCTTGCGGTTTGCGTGTGTTTCTAGCGCAAACCGGTTGTGCTGTGTGAATCTGACAGATGTTTTGTCGCGTTGGTAGTTCGGCGATGTGACGGGGCTGCGTTTCACCTGTTCGTAACGCCGGGCACTGCTGACTGTCGAGGGCTGCACCTACCGGCTACCGCGGAGAAGATGTGTTTGCGGTGCCACCAGCGACAACACCAGGAAACACCCGCCAGTCAGACATAGTGTGACGACTGTATCGTTCTGTTATATGGCGTGAGCCTATCATTTATGACACCGACACCGGCCTCCGCGATGTCTGGCGGATAAAGTCGACCAGTTTTCGCGACTCCTACCATTTCTTGAGGGTAGTCGTTTCACTAACTTTGGGGGGCTGGCATGTTATCTGTACCTATTCAATTGCACTCGCAGTTTGCACGCTTCAGTCGCTGGGACTTGGGAGAAGCAGTGACACCGCCTGATTTGCGCTGGCGGTGACACTGGCACCTCGCTGTGTCATACCTACAGTCCATGTGACATTTTGCAGTCTCCTATGTCATCGGCAGTCCGCTGGGGGTAGTGACACGGACATGTGAAGGGTGCCTGACTCACGCTGTCGGGCCACTGCCCACCCGTGACCCGGCCACGTGAGTCTGCCGCCCATAAAGGGCGTCGCTGTGAACCAAAATGGGCTGATCAGTGGTCGGACGCACGGTCACCGGACAGCGTTCACTGGTGCCAAAGGGGTGGTACTGGTTTAGCGGCAGCTCCGGTTTGCTGTAGCCGTTTCAGTGCCCTCTATAGGTCACTGACCTCTCCCTCAGCCACCGGTCAGCCCCTCCGTATCGGGTTGTGTTTGACGAACTGTCACGCTGACAGGTGGTGCAGCAGACACAGGTGGGAGGTGATTACTGCGGGTCAGACCCTGTCTGCTGCCCCCCCCCCCCCACACACACACATGCATGTGTGTGGAGCACACACGCATGATGCCCATAAATGCCACCTATCTGAGTCTGCCTTCCATTTCTTGATGGTTTGAAGAAATAACATTTGATCGGTGTGACACAGGAATTTAGGGGTGAACGGATTTCTTCTCTAATCAAACGGCTCCTTATCGTCTGGTTGTAAACGCTGTATGCACTTATACCAAGTACAAAGCGTGTGGCCGCCTGAGGTCACATTTATCGTTACGTTGTAGTCTCTAGATTGCTGCCATAACCCAGAGTGGTTAGGTACTCTTATCAGCCCCTCAGCCATATCGATTCATATTGGTGCTCGCCGCTCTGCGAGGCGCTCTTCCCGTATATACTCCAGTGCAATTGCGTTCCATTCGTGAACATATTTATGCGAGAATTTCGGTAAACATGATATTCATCAAATTGAAAAGCTTGATATTGTCTGATATTTAAAAAAAAAACATTAAATTGAGTAGTTTGATTTATTATCATACCAACTGACTTCCCTGACTAACTTTCATACCTCGTGGGCTTCAGTGGATTCTCACTACCTGATACCTCTCTACGGTCATCATTCTGTGTGATAATGTCTCGGCAGTCGGCAGTGTCTCCACTGCACAGGTACGGGGTTTTGGCGGCTGCCGTCGGGCCAGTTCACACCGCCTGTGAACCTGGCAGCCCGCAACTCATGTGGGAGGATATGGCGCACCAATAAGGGCGGTCTCTGTCTATGGTGCCAGCCAATGATCTCAGACTGGTGTTTTAGTTTGGGTCAGGCTTTATAGCAGCTTTGCCAACGGGTTATCCGAGAGCATTTGAGCAGGAGGTGAAGTTACTGTTTCGCAACAACGATGATCGTCCCAGCCGGGCTGTAAGCCAACTTTTGGGAACTTAAGTTGGGAACTTTCGCAACCTCAACGTCGTGTTAGTACCGAGAAATCTACCAAGAAGCTCGTTGTTTTTCTTCGGTGTACCGTATTGATGTGCCCGGTCATGCTGGCGTGGAAGCGACTTTTGCCATAACTTCCCGCCCTTGCTAATCCAGCTTTTCAACTTTATCCTACTTCTACGGCTTCATTCATCTCTGATTGTTCTTGTCTGTCTTTTTTGCCCTTGTCCCTCCCTGTCCCTCCCTGTCCCTCCCTGTCCCTCCCTGTCCCTCCCTGCCCTCTCTAACGTTCATCTCCGTCCCTCTGCAGCTGAATGAAGGTGTTAGCGACCCCTCTCTGACGCTCCCCCGTCCCCCCTACCCTGCCACCTCTTCTGCCGCCCCTCTGACCCAAGATTACTCTGACCTCCCTCTCCTTTCTTCTTCAGCCGGATGGACGTGCCGGCGGCTACGAACGGCGGCGGTGGTGACGCCAATGGCGGCCTCACGGAGGAGGAGCTCGAGAGGCAGAGGATGAGACCAGCGGAGGTCGACGCAGACATGAGGGAGATGACCAGACGGAAACGGGTCGACGCCATCCTCAGCTCCAAGTCCTTCAAGGTGAGGTAGAGCGGAGCGGTGATGGCTGTGGTGGGAGTGGTGTCATCTACATCCTAGGGTACTGCGAGAGGGGTGTGGGAATGCTGGAGAATTGTGGGTGTGGTTTTGGACTAGGTTGGTATTGGTAAGGATGCTGAGATATTGTGGGCGTGATTTTGGACTGGGTTGGTAAGGAATAGGATGCTGAGATTATCACCACGTTTCCATGACACGTCTAAATCGATTTAGCGAAATTTCACGTGCGTTTTTCTCGGAAACTATTTACTTTATGCAAAAAATGAATGTATATATGGTTTTAGCTAGCACCTAATCCTATATTTACATTTTTAAATTATGCCTAAATGTTATGATAGAGCAAATCCATTTTTCAAAATCGGCTTAGCTTGTGCCATGGAAACGTAGCTATTGTGGGTGTGGTTTTGGATTTGGTTGGTGAGGATAGTGGCACATTTGGGCAGTGGTGTGGGATACCGGATAATAGGGGACAATCCCTTAGTATCTCAGATGACTGTCAACTTGCGGCACAAAGCGGCCAATTGGCTGATGCCGGATCTGCTTACTGTATCCGCTGGACTCTCAGGGGATTCAGGGTCTGGTGGTCATAGGCCGCAGTTTGAGCCGTAGCGAGTGGGCGTGGACTTGGTTCACAGACTGGATGAACGAATGAGAAGGGATGTCTCGCGCCATGCGGCCCTGCCCCATCCCCCCCCCCCCCCCCGGCGCACTATATACCCCCTCCATGCCAGCGGGAGAGAAAGGTCGGCTGGGCGGCAGCCAGCCCTGCCCGGAGCTATTTCCAGGCGGCCGATGACGTCAGGATAGTGACGTCACTGGCCCGATGGCCTCGGTATAGTGCGGGTGTAGCCAGGGGCGGTGTGTGTATGTGCATGGTGAGGGGATGGTGCTGAGTGAGCTGTGACGTCAGACCGGTGTGTGTAGTTAGAGCAGGGTGTTGACTGCTGAGCCAGGTGTGACGTCAGAACGGGACAGTCTGTGCGTGGTAAGGACTAAGGAGAGAGTTCTCAGTGAGATGTATGTAACGTCAGCTTTTGTTGGCTGTTAGTTGGTGGATGGACGCGATGCTGCTCAGATTGCAGACTGGTCAACACGGAGACCGAGCCCTCCTGGCAGTGACAGAGCTCTGCTGGCGCGAAGCGGCTCAGCCGTCAGCCTGCCCACACTGCAAGTCATTTGTTCTCGTTAAATATAGTGGCGGGCGTAGACAGATGACGTAGTCGATCGGATGAGCGTGCTATCTCTGGCAGCGTGGGGGTCAGAGTCTTCACAGTTCAGAGTCTACACAGCTTCTGTATCATTGACTCCGGTGTATTATATTGGTTTGTTTTGTTCTAAGAAAGAGGGTATCCATGTGCATTGCGCACCTGCGTCCATTAATGTGCGTTCTTTCTGGTATTTCAGGCGGAGCTGGATGGTTGATAGCCCACTATGCTGATGTATATTCCCTGTGATGTCATTCGGACTGGAGCTGGCTGCTGGAACCAGTGGCACTGGTCGATGAGGGCGTTGCGTTCAGTCCACTGATGTGTGTTCTCTCTGTGGTATTTCAGTCGGAGCTGGAGCGCCTGGTGGATGAAGGCGTGATCGACGGTAACTCTGTTGGCGGCTGTCTGGAGCACATCTCAGACATGATGGGCCTCGTCCGAGGCGGCGTCTCATCCACACAGAGTAAGTACGACACATACAGGGTGTCTTTACTCAGTGGGCGGCTGTCTGGAGCACATCTCCGACATGATGGGCCTGGTGCGAGGCGGCGTCTCATCCACACAGAGTAAGTACAAAACCCCTATATACAGGGTGTCTTTACTCAGTGGGCGGCTGTCTGGAGCACATCTCCGACATGATGGGCCTGGTGCGAGGCGGCGTCTCATCCACACAGAGTAAGTACGAAACCCCTATATACAGGGTGTCTTTACTCAGTGGGCGGCTGTCTGGAGCACATCTCCAGATATGATGGGCCTGGTCCGAGGCGGCGTCTCATCCACACAGAGTAAGTACGAAACCCCTATATACAGGGTGTCTTTACTCAGTGGGCGGCTGTCTGGAGCACATCTCCGACATGATGGGCCTGGTGCGAGGCGGCGTCTCATCCACACAGAGTAAGTACAAAACCCCTATATACAGGGTGTCTTTACTCAGTGGGCGGCTGTCTGGAGCACATCTCCGGCATGATGGGCCTGGTGCGAGGCAGCGTCTCATCCACACAGAGTAAGTACAAAACCCCTATATACAGGGTGTCTTTACTCAGTGGGCGGCTGTCTGGAGCACATCTCCGACATGATGGGCCTGGTGCGAGGCGGCGTCTCATCCACACAGAGTAAGTACGAAACCCCTATATACAGGGTGTCTTTACTCAGTGGGCGGCTGTCTGGAGCACATCTCCGACATGATGGGCCTGGTCCGAGGTGGCGTCTCATCCACACAGAGTAAGTACGACACATACAGGGTGTCTTTACTCAGTGGGCGGCTGTCTGGAGCACATCTCCGACATGATGGGCCTGGTCCGAGGTGGCGTCTCATCCACACAGAGTAAGTACGAAACCCCTATATACAGGGTGTCTTTACTCAGTGGGCGGCTGTCTGGAGCACATCTCAGACATGATGGGCCTGGTGCGAGGCGGCGTCTCATCCACACAGAGTAAGTACGAAACCCCTATATAGCCGTCTTTACTCAGTGGACGGCTGTCTGGAGCACATCTCCGACATGATGGGCCTGGTGCGAGGCGGCGTCTCATCCACACAGAGTAAGTACAAAACCCCTATATACAGGGTGTCTTTACTCAGTGGGCGGCTGTCTGGAGCACATCTCCGACATGATGGGCCTGGTGCGAGGCGGCGTCTCATCCACACAGAGTAAGTACGAAACCCCTATATACAGGGTGTCTTTACTCAGTGGGCGGCTGTCTGGAGCACATCTCCGACATGATGGGCCTGGTGCGAGGCGGCGTCTCATCCACACAGAGTAAGTACGAAACCCCTATATACAGGGTGTCTTTACTCAGTGGACGGCTGTCTGGAGCACATCTCCGACATGATGGGCCTGGTGCGAGGCGGCGTCTCATCCACACAGAGTAAGTACGACACATACAGGGTGTCTTTACTCAGTGGGCGGCTGTCTGGAGCACATCTCCGACATGATGGGCCTGGTCCGAGGTGGCGTCTCATCCACACAGAGTAAGTACGACACATACAGGGTGTCTTTACTCAGTGGGCGGCTGTCTGGAGCACATCTCCGACATGATGGGCCTGGTGCGAGGCGGCGTCTCATCCACACAGAGTCAGTACGACACATACAGGGTGTCTTTACTCAGTGGGCGGCTGTCTGGAGCACATCTCCGACATGATGGGCCTGGTCCGAGGTGGCGTCTCATCCACACAGAGTAAGTACGACACATACAGGGTGTCTTTACTCAGTGGGTGGCTGTCTGGAGCACATCTCCGACATGATGGGCCTGGTGCGAGGCGGCGTCTCATCCACACAGAGTAAGTACGACACATACAGGGTGTCTTTACTCAGTGGGCGGCTGTCTGGAGCACATCTCCGACATGATGGGCCTGGTCCGAGGTGGCGTCTCATCCACACAGAGTAAGTACGACACATACAGGGTGTCTTTACTCAGTGGGCGGCTGTCTGGAGCACATCTCCGACATGATGGGCCTGGTCCGAGGTGGCGTCTCATCCACACAGAGTAAGTACGAAACCCCTATATACAGGGTGTCTTTACTCAGTGGGCGGCTGTCTGGAGCACATCTCCGACATGATGGGCCTGGTGCGAGGTGGCGTCTCATCCACACAGAGTAAGTACGAAACCCCTATATACAGGGTGTCTTTACTCAGTGGGCGGCTGTCTGGAGCACATCTCCGACATGATGGGCCTGGTGCGAGGTGGCGTCTCATCCACACAGAGTAAGTACGACACATACAGGGTGTCTTTACTCAGTGGGCGGCTGTCTGGAGCACATCTCCGACATGATGGGCCTGGTCCGAGGCGGCGTCTCATCCACACAAAGTGGGTTCAACGACATCTCTATTGAGGACACCCGTCAACACCTAGTTATACCCCTCTTTGGGGTGTGTCCACGCCTTTTTATAGGGCACAATCTCGACACCATGTATTGAAAGATGAGCACCTACATAAAATTGCTTTCACATCGATCGCCAATTGCTAAATCGATGGCCCCTCACTGAAACATCTGCGTCCCCCATCCCCCGTCCCAGTGTGACCTGCCCCCGTCCCCGACAGGTGAGCAGTGTGTCCAGCTGATCGCCGCACCTTCCCCGTCCCCGTCTCCCGTCTCGGTGTGCCTTGTCCACCGTCCCTCTGCAGGTCAACAGTGCGTCGAGCCAATCGCCACCCCGTCCCTGTCCCCCCGCTCTGATGTGACGTGTCCCCCCGTCCTCGTCACGTCAGCATTGTGTCCAGCTGATCGCCGCCCCGTCCCGTTGTGACCCCCTCCCGTCCCCGGCAGGCCAGCAGTGCGTGCAGCCGATTGCCGATCTGCGCGGCGCCGACGCCTCCCAGTTCTCCAAGACGGAGAAGATGCTGCGCTGCAAGCTTGCCTCGCTGTTCCGTGTTATCGATATGCACGGCTGGGCACAGGGCGTGCACGGACACATCACAGTGAGTGGACAGTGGGACGGGACTGGGGAGGGTGTAGTGAAATGGGATGGGTCTGGACTGGGGAGAGGTGTGGTGAAATGAGACGGGACTGGGAAGGGTGTGTGGAATGGGACTGGACGTGGGAATGCAATGGCATCGGGTTGTTCTATTCCATGGGACAATGCCGTCCCATTGCACCGCACCATAGCATTCTCTCTCACTGTAATAATCGCCCTCCCCCCCAACCAATGACACCCCCCCCCAGCCAATGACACCCCCCCCCCCCCCTCGTCTGCAGGTGCGGCTGAACCAGGAGCAGGACCACCTGCTGGTGAACCCGCACGGCCTGCTCTACAGCGAGATCACCGCCTCCACGCTCATCAAGGCCGACCTGCAGGGCTCTGTGCTGCACCCGGGCAGCACGGGACTCGGTCTGAGCGCGCCGGCCTACGCCCGGCTGGCGGCCGTGCACGCGGCGCGGCCCGAGCTGCGCTGTGTGCTGCACGTCCAGCAGCCGGCCGTGGTGGCCGTGTCAGCGCTGAGGGCCGGCCTGCTGCCTCTCACGGAGGACGCCGCCGCGCTGGGAGCCGTCGCCGTGCACCGGCCGCAGGGCGCTGACCCCGAGCTGCGCGCCCTCACCGCCGACCTCGGCACGGAGAGTAAGGTGATGATGGTGCAGAATGCTGGAGCCATCTGCGCAGGAGAGACCGTCGAGGAGGCCTTCTTCCTGCTGGGCAAACTGGTGGCCGCCTGTGAGAACCAGGTGAGTTGGGTGGTGGAAAGGGCTGAGGTCGGTCCGGGAGACGGGTGAAGTTAGTGGGGGTGGTCAGGTGTTAAGATATCCGTTTAAATGCTGGTCTAGCGTTTGGAGGAGCCATGCTGTGTGGTGGTTTTCAACGGAGACTGTAGTGCGTTTTTCTTAAGTTCGACACTCACTGTAAACACTGTAAACACAGCACGCGATCTGCTAGGTGAATTACGACACCCCGTCCTCTGACCGTCATGTACCCCCCCCCCCTGCCCCGCCGTCAGGTCCGCATGCTGCCGCTCGGCCTGGACAACCTGACCCAGCTAGACGAGGAGGAGCAGCGGCGCGCCTATGAGGCAGCGCGCCGTCCGCCGGCGCCGGCTACCGAGCCAGCCAGTCCCGAGTCGCCGCGCGCCGCGCCCTGGAGGCTCGGCGAGCTCGAGTTCGAGGCTCTGATGCGCCAGATGGACAGCGCCGGCTACCGGACCGGCCACGTGTACCGACACGCGCTGCGCGGAGAGTTGCCACCGAACCAGAGTGACGTGGAGTACCCGCCGGCCGCCGTCGGGTACGCGCTGGACACAGACGACATCTTCAAATACAGGTGGGTCGGGGAGGGAGCGGAGGGATGGGCTGGATTGAGGTAAGGTGGGGTGGGAACTGGGAACTGTAGACAGATGGGATGAGACTAGTGTGGAGGGGTTGTCGCGTCAGACAATATGTGAAAGGTAGCTATGGGCGATGTGATCAAGGCGTACTTCGGAGCTAGTTTTCTGCGATGGCGAAGTGGTGCAAGCTGCATCGTGTGTGCATCGTGTAAAGACATGTTTGTTTCTGCTATTCAACGTTGTTCGCGGTCTGTGCCTACCATCCGGCGCTCGTACGCTGTCTGGTGAAGTTCGGCGTCCATCCCCATTGATGGTCGGTCATTCTCCGTCTGCTCCCACTGACGCTTTACCGTTCTCCCTTTCAGCCCGATGCGGAAGATCGTGGCCGGTGCGCGGGCCGGCGAACGGACCCGGTGGCTCAACTCGCCCAACGTCTACCAAAAGGTCGAGCTGGTGGAGTCGGGCTCCAGCGACTCCAAGACCGTCACCAAGGTATCGGTGGTGAAGGGCGACCAGTGAGCGGGCGCTGCACCGCACCGCGAGACGCACGAGACGCACGGGCCGGGGGTCCAGGCCGGGCGCCGCACTATTCCGAGAGCGGCCGCCCCGCGCCGCTGTGTGACTGAGAGTTCCGATTCGCGTCGGACGGACGTCGCGGCGCACAGCTATGGGATGCGTGAGTGCGCGACCCGGCCGCGATGGACGCTAGCTAGCAGTGTAGAGGAGCGGGGTCCCAGAGAGGCTGGCCGACGTGCCGCGCGCAGACGGCCCAGTAGTCATAGCAGAGGCGGAGACCGGAGACAGTAGGCGGAGACCGGAGATTCCAGAGCGGCGGGGCGTGTGTGGCGCCGCTGCCCGGCCGCCGCGCGGTCCGCACAGTCGCCACTCGCCAGTCCAGAGTTCACGCGGCTCACGGGCCACCGTCCGTCGGCTGTCTGCCGACCGATGGCAGTCTGCCGACCGCCTGCCTGCTGCCGAGCATGAGTGTGTGGGGGTCCGGTGCCTGTGCCGCCGTCTCGTGGCTGTCTCCAGCCAGCCCGTAGTGGCGGTCCGGCCGATCCCCTCCCCCCACCGCCCGGGCAGCCTATTCGTCACGCGTGTGAGGCCTGCGCGAGTTATAACTCGGAGAATTGGGAGTTGTGCCGCCGAATGCTACTCCTTGTGGCATCTACTCAAAGAGGCATCTGTGTGACTGGAGAATCTCCCTTCGAGAGATAGAGCGAGAGAGAGGAATATACTGTGTGCGTCCGATAATCTTATGGATCCACGCTTCTCCGCCAGCTATTTTACGCATTTTATTGTGGGCGCGGCGTTCGGCCGGGGGTGTGACCCGTTTTGTTGAGATTGCCCGTGCTCTGTCGGCTTTGAATACATGATTTGGGGACCTTCTGTGTGTGGTGTGTCTCTGTTCTGTCTCCCGGTGGTGGCTAACCCGCACCGTCCCGAGCTCGGGTGTGCTGAACGGCGTCCGGACCGCCCGCGCACGACTGAGGCGGCTCGTCTCCCGCCGGCTGCTGCTGCTGCTGCTGACAAAGTAAGGACGGGGAAGGGCGCCTAGCGCACCTGACACGTAGTAACACACGCACAGACACATTGGGGCACATGCCATCGTCACCGTCAAACTGAGCGTCACATACTAAATGTACAGCACAGTTCACTGTTGAACACTGTTACACAGCAACATTAGTTCTCGTAGTCCCATTTGTGTTCTAAGTGTTGCTTATTACCTTTTGCTCCGCGCTTTGTTTTTACTTACCTGATTGCCGTTTTACTCATTTCAATTAAGAGCCGAGTATTACTTTCACGCTTATACGCTTATCAATCCTGACAGGTTTAGCGTATCTTATTTGTCAGATTTTCAGCGGGGTATCAAGCAAACGACATGAGTTCATATAAAAAAACTCGCTCTTATGCGTCTGCTGGTCGTATTTATCGAGTGAATGGCGTAAGTGCGCTCAGACGACCCCGTTTCCGTTTTCAGTGGGTGGCGGCCCCCTCGCCAGCCTCGGGTAGCACCCCCGTGAAGGTGGACTCTGCTCTCCAGTTTGTGCCGAAAAACACCAGTCCTAAGGAGTTCAGGCAGCTGCAGAAACAGGTATGGAGGCTGAACTGTCCGGTTGAGACGGGCAAGGTTAGAGGTCTGTAGTAGGGGAGACCCGGGAGGTATGGGCCGGTTTTGTGAAAAGGCAATTTTCTTCCAGTGGGCAGTGGCTAGACCCGTTTTTTTCACTCTGTGCACGTGAAATTGCCTTTCGCCTGCAAAGTGTGCCTGATATTAGGCATCTGGGATCAACTATTTTGTCTCGAGATAACTTTCAATAAATCATGTGCTTTTTCGATCCATCAAAATACACCGGGAGGTATGGGCCATGGCCCGGGAGGTATGGGCCGGTGCCATGTTTCATATTCTTTTCTCGACAATGAGAAAATACTCGTAGCTGGTATCTACCCTGATCTCTCTTAGAGCCCAGGAACGGCATAAGCGGCCAACAGCTTACTTCATGGAGGTCACTTTGGGCACATATGTATTTTGGTAAACTCAATCATGCACCATGAAATAAAATGAGTAATATTTTTCTGTTCGAATTAAATTTGAAGTTAAATTTTCAACCATACGCGACAAAAATAAAGCTTATTGAAGATGGCACTCAATGAAAGCATCTTTTTATTGATTTAGGATCAACGGGGCTGGGTGGCCCGAACCTTCCGGTTAGGACGCCAGAATTTGTGTAGCATCTCAGCTCATAATCTTGCAAGAAAGCTTCAAATTGTCCATCCAGTCTTGATTTGCATGCTTTAAACTTTATGTTAGCATCGGTCTGACATCATAAAACGAGCCTGGTTCAAATTTATCACGAATTATCTGTATGTAGAGTATTTTACTCGAAGAGGGCAAAAACGCTTTATCACCGCTTATTGCCAAAGAAGATTGAGGAAGAATGTGAAAATCACATGGGTTGTATAACGGAATGGCTGCTACCAGTTTACACGGTCAAACGTGTAAAAATACGCAACACTTCTTCAAAACTGCGATGGCCCATACCTCCAGGGGGCCCATACCTCCCGGGTCTCCCCTACATACATAACTAGGAATTACCAAGTATCCCATGAAAGGAAATGTGCTATGTGTGATAGTGCGAGCGCCAGTTATGAACTGTTGCGGATGAAAAAGCATACATCGCGAACGGATTTCAAAGTATGCTTTTTCATTCATGCGCCATTCAAAGTAGAATGGCGCATATCTGTTTACAACTTCCTCAGTGGTCTACATTTTTGTCAAAATAAGGAGTGGTCAGTGGGCATGCCAAGCGACGCCAATAAGAAAATGAAACGCATCTATTCCATGCGGTAGCCGTCGTTCGGCACCATTATGATGTCCACTCGTACTCAACGCTCAGTCTCGCCTGTAGGTCTATCTTAGCTCCTGGGTCTCGCCACTATGTCCGTCGCAGTCCTAGCCCGGCTGCCCTGACCCCTGTACCGTGTCCACTGACCGCCGCGCGTGGCAGATCAAGGAGAACCGCCGGTCAGGCGAGGTCAGCGCCGGACCGCAGTCCCACCTCCTGGAGGGTGCGGCCGGGTCAGAGGTCAGCCAGCGGCAGGACGACGCCCGGTCACACACCGGCGACCAGGTCAGGGTCACCCGCAGGGGCGGTCCCAGGGTGCCAGATGAGGGGGCAGAGTACTGGGTGGCAGGTCAGGGTCGGCCGCAGGGGCGGTCCCAGGCTGTCAGATGAGGGGGCAGAGTACTGGGTGACCAGGTCAGCGGCAGGGGCGGTCACAGGGTGCCAGTTTTAGGAGGCTCAGGCAGAGTACCGGCGACGTCAGAGGCAGTCCCAGAAGTGTTATCAAGGTAGCAAATATGAAACCATTAGATGTTGCATCATTAGATGGAGTCTTGTCGGCGTGTTGGGCCACAACTACATCACAGCTAACATTGATCGAGAGAAATGAACATTGTATGATCCAATGCCCAGTGGCTCTCTTGACTATAGGTGGATAGTATGCTTTGCAACTATCATAAAACCTCATCTCAAATCTTGATCGGTCCCTTTGTCTCCGACAGCCCTCTGACCTCCTTCCCTCCCTCCCGTCTCTCCCTCAGCCCTCTGACCTCCCTCCCTCCCTCCCTCCCTCCCTCCCTCTGCCCCTCTGTATCTGACCTCCCTCCCCCTCCTCCCGTTCGTTGGCGACCCCAGGTGGTGCTGGTTGGGGCCGCCTCCAAAGGGATCATCCAGCGCAGCCACCAGCATCACGCCGCCGTCTACCGGGCGCCGTACGCAGCCAATCCCTTCGACGGGGTCACAGACGAAGAACTGGAGGAGTACCGCCAGACGGTGGAGCGGAAGAGTCGGGAACAGAGCGGTGAGAGAAAGAGAAAGAGAGAGAGAGAGAGAGAGAGAGAGAGAGAGAGAGAGAGAGAGAGAGAGAGAGAGAGAGAGAGAGAGAGAGAGAGAGAGAGAGAGAGAGAGAGAGAGAGAGAGAGAGAGAGAGAGAGAGAGGAGAGAGAGAGAGAGAGAGAGAGAGAGAGAGAGAGAGAGAGGAGAGAGAGAGAGAGAGAGAGAGAGAGAGAGAGAGAGAGAGAGAGAGATATGGGGATAAAGCAGTGACAGAGATGACAGAGGAAGGGAAAGCAGGAGAGACACAGACACGTGGGAATATTGGGTTGAATGGTTTCAGGAATAGGTACTAGAAAAGAAAGGGAAGATTATCCATCCATCAGTGTTCGGTGTGGAAAACACGTTTCGCTGAGGTGTTTGAATATGTCATTGGTGGATGGATGCTTATCAGGTCTCACTTAAAGGTGAAGTTGTTTTATCTTAAGCTCAAATTCCTACGGAAATGTCGTGTCTCATAAAAAACTAGGCACTGCAAAGCATGCGGATATTAATTGGTATTTGTTGTCATCTACACTGATTGCTGATATAATGAATCTTGTATTTTCAGCCGAAGCTGAGACAGCCTCGCAGTCTGCATCTGATCTGAATCGCCGACCGACCGATCACTGCCACCCGGCACAGCTCCTTGAGCCGCAGCCCGGGCCCGCTGAGCCGCCACAGCCGCAACAGTTTGAGCCGCCGCCTCAGCAGCAGTTTGAGCCGCCGCACCCGCAGCAGTTTGAGCCGCAGCCTCAGCAGCAGTTTGAGCCGCAGCCTCAGCAGCAGTTTGAGCCGCGTCCGGTGCGCCAGCGGGGCCCGGAACACGCCGAGCGAGTGCTGCTCACCAGTGACGGAGAGGAGGCGGAGCTGAGCAGCGGCTCGGCGCCACCAGGTGACGGAGCGGAGACGGCCCGCCGAGACCCGCCCGGTGACTATACTGACCGCTACACGCCCGGCTATACCGACCACTGCCCGACCTTCGCCGCTGCCGACGCCGCCTCTGACGATGTGTTCGGTCCCGCCTCTGCCGGCTTCGAGTTTGACCCTGCTATCAGTAACGCCTCTGCCGCCCTGATGTTTGAGCCTGACGACGGCATGAGCCCGGCTGTTTACTCTCGCCACGCTGCCGCAGCCGCTCTCTCTGCTACTAATTCATCTGCTTCTCCCATCCCCGGCGCACCCTCTACGGGTGTCCCTGCTGTCCTCTCTCCTTCCCTAGCGTACGACTCTGTCTCACGTGGCCTTTCTCCTCTAACTCAACAACCGCTAACTCCACCCGTCCCACCCGTCATGCAGCCCGGCCAGCCTCCTCTAACTTCGCCGTCCCTTACTCCCCTAGCTCCACCCGCCGCGCAGCCCGGCCTGCCTCCGCTAACTCCGCCCGCTGCGCAGCCCGGCCTGCCACCGCTAACTCCGCCCGCCCAGCAGTCCGGCCCGGCCCAGGACACCGAGCCGCAGCAGTTCTCGCAATCGTCACCTCTTCACCCGATGCATGGTACGTGAACTAGTGACTGTCCGGAAATGGTAATACCTGCCATTGTTGGTCCGTTATTTCACATTGGCCACTTGTAACTACCCCTCTTTGTGTCTGAGGACGGAAAACCAGACTAGTAATGGGCTATTTACATCTATGTGTCGTGATTCTGTATCTGTCAGGATATCTGTCAGGTATTATGCTTTCCGCCGTTTTTGTTTGTTTTGTTGGGTTCGGCTCTCTCGTTCCAAAGAGACCATTGCAGAGCCGGAAGGATGATAGGAATCAGGGGAGACATTGGTCTGGGCAGACACCCTAGAGAGTCGCCGAGGCTTAGCCCGTCCGAATGGACAGGCCGACCAGCCCCCCAAGCACTCTCTGCACCCGGTTACGGGTTGCGCTCCCTCGGGAGCAGCGGTGCCGCTCCAAGGGAGCAGCCCGCATGAGATAAAGTTGTCTGTCCAGCCCGGAGCGAGGGTTGGGGCGTGCAGTGGAGGAGAAGGATTTGAACATCCTGAGGATGGAAACGACGGATGGGTTTTCCGCCGTTTTATGACTTGTGTATGTGTATTGTATAACTAAACTCGACTGACAACAGGCCTGTGAGTGGTGATCTGTTGTGTCCTCCGCCGACCTCTGACCTGTGACCTGTGACCTGTGACCACTAACCTGTGACCTTCTACCCCCTCAGTGCCGCCCCCGAGGAGCTCCCGCGGCCACCGCGGCTCGGACCGGCGCGGCCCACGCACCATGCCGGCCCCTCTGTCGGCCACTGGCAAACGAGGAGTTCGCGTGTCCGCCCTCTGATGGCGCCCCAGTCGCGGCAGACCGGTAATATCAGCTGGCAGACCTCCAGCCGTGCCATGAGACAGTCGAGCAGTGCACTAAGTGGTGTTAGAGTGAGTGTGCGAGGGTCGAGGATGCAGGTTTTAGGTGTTGGTTGAATATCGAGTGGTGAAATTGAAATCTACACAGCTGAGAGTCATTTTCGCAGTCCGTATTTCGAAAAGTTGCATTGCAAAATGTGAGGCTTGGCCGATATCAATATAGACCACAAGGACGTGCCAAGGAGTGCAATGTTATTTGCTAGTTATTCATCAGTTCATAGTTGACTTCCTTGGTTTCACGGAAATTTCCATTACTTTGCTTGTCTGGTGTGAGCGGTCGTTATAAGTCAAGCGTGCTAACTTTTTTATTTTGTCCTAATGGATAAATGGGTGGCTAATTAGCTATGGGCCCAGGTGCCCCCTAAGCAGTGCTTGTTGCGAATGACACCACGAACCCACCACCCCACCTTATGGCCTGCTGTTAAGATTAAATTATCGGCGAAAATGAATAATTGTAGCTAGAATTTCAATCCCTTTATCTGCGGCTATGGTGCTCATTATTGACGAAAAACCCTACGTTTCCCTGCCACGCTGATCGGTTAAACCGTAATTCACTCACGGGCATTGCCAACAGTTCCATAGGCGTATATTCATTAGCCAACAACAAATAAATATTCGAAATGTAACAGGCTGACCTTTTCCGTAATCGATCGATACGTTTCAGCATTTCGTACCAAACAGTGCCAAACTTGACGTATTGAAACGACCAGTGCCATTTTAATTGCATTCTTAGTGCCATTGGTGCAATAACGCAACGTTTAGCCTTAGTTCATGCCATATAGTTATGTAACTATAACGCTATACGTTTGCGCAGTACTGTTAATCAGGTAGCACTGTTTTGCTTTCCGTCCTGACTTCCCTCCTTGCGCTTTTCAAGTTTGCGGAATTCTCAATAATAATTCATGCTCCTGAAAATTGGGCACCGTAGCCGGCATTTAAAATTGTGTTACTTTTGAGACCACTTCCTTCTCTCCTACCTCCGGATTTTTCTTTCCAAACTTATTTTGTTGCTAGTGTAGTGTGCTTGGTAGAGTGTGTTAGCCGAGGGTGTGGTTGCATGCTGAGTTATAGTCGAAGTGTGGCCACATGAGTCCCTAATCCTATGTGGGCACCGGCACAGCTGTGCGGTTTATGTCCGTAAACCTCTGCTGTGAGCGAGATGCCTGCTAACAGAGAGCCCCACTGGCACTACCAGTGTCTAGTACGGCTGACTAGATCTGATTATGCGGTGCTGGTTAGGTTAGAGTCCCCTCTTGCCGCCATTAGAGGAGTGTAAATATACGCGTCACCGTCCAACCGCTGACTTTCCAGAGGAAGGTATGGTAGCGACTAGCGGTAGCGCCAGACGGCACTGCCCCGAGTGGAGAACTCCATGTGACAGAGATCTGGTGGAATGAACGCTCGACGCCGGACGTTATGTCTGCTGCTGCCTTCTCTCGCGAGTCGGTATCATGTGGTAGCAAAGACAGAATCACCCACACTGCTGAAGAAATTATTCAAAATCACACGTTGTCTTCACGTAGAAGCCGTCAAAATAGGTATAATCGCTTGCATTCACAAAATATTGTTGAGAATCGTTCAAAACGCTTTCTAGTTCCAGCGGATGATAAGAAAACCGAACACTCATTTCTGAAACAGAGCATGGTGTTGAATCTTGCCTCCCAGGGCAACTGATGCAGTACTAACGAATCTTTACCAGGCTGGCAAAATAATCGTGATTTCGAGAAGGATTTCGTTCGGGGTTGTACCTATTCAGGCTCTGTTTTCATACGGGGCCATTACTGATGATCAAACGTGTCCCACTGTCTCGTTATTGGAGGTGTAAATATTCTACCAACTTTCTGATATACCTACCAGTACTATACATATTGTGGCGGTCACACTTCGGCCTCCCCTCACTGTGCGCGCGCGACCGCCCCTGCGCGTGACCGGACGATCGTCCGACCGCCAGCTGACCTTGCCCCGGGGCACTGGAGGTCACGACCCCGTCCCGCTCCGCGCGGGCCAGCGCCGCACGGACGCGGCAGTTATCGACGAGTGCTCGGTGAGTGAACGCAACACGTGGTGGCAGCGGAAAACTGCAACGGAGCCATGGCTATGGCGAAGAATTACCGTTTACCGGAATTTGACGGCAGTGGTAATGTAAAAACGTGGATCAGCAAGATAGAAGTGATTGCCCGTGCTTGCAACTGGGACAGTTCAAAACCGGAACAGAAGACCTCCAGCGATTTCAGTGACGAAACTACGGCGGTGATGGCGCTCCCGGCGATCACCGGTCGGGCATTCGACTTCGCGATGCGCCTCTCCGACGGCGACAGGAACAGCTGGAAGAAACTGTGCGAGAAGTTGAATGCCGAGTTTGACTCTCCCGGACTCGCTGTTCAGTACGCGCTGGAGTTTCATCAGCGTATTCGCAGGCCCGGCGAATCACTGGCGACGTTCCTGTACGATCTGGAAACGTTGTGTGCTCGCGCCTACCCCGAGTGGGAGGACGCCACATACCGCCAGCGGCTGGTGAAGGATCGGTTTCTGATGGGCATCGGAGAAAAGTCGAGGAAACACATACTTTCGTTCTACCAACCAACGTGGTCGACAGAGACGGTTCTCCTGGAGGCGAGAAAGCTGGAGCAGATCGAGACGTCAACGGGAGGCGGCGCATCTGTGGGGGCCGTCCATGGTGCCCCGAGAGGAGAACAGTCGGACGCGTGGAGTACCGGCTCTCAACCTCAGCCCAGCGAGACTTCGGTGCTGTCGGCGCTGTCCGACAAGATCCAGATGCTGGAGGAGCAGATGCAGGCATGTCGCGTATTCCGTCCCAGCCGCGACTACAACCGCTCGTCCCGTTCGTCCAACAGGCGCCGAACACCGAGCCGTCGGAGGGAGGAGGGCTGCTTCAACTGCGGTGAACTCTCCCACTGGCGCTCTGACTGTCCGTACCAACGCCCAGCAGACCGGCGGTCGGGAAACGGGAACGGACCGAGGAGGATGTGAGCCGCCGCTCCTCGGTCCCCGCTGTAGTAGCCTCTTCTAGGGTGGCTCGGACGACTCCGCTGATCCGGGGCGCCATCGACGGCGTCCGCGTCACGTGGCTTGCTGACACTGGCAGTGACGTCACGTTCGTCACCAGCAGCTGCCCGGCGGTAGGGTGCAAAGCGTTCCGACCCCTCGTGCACCCTGCATCGGCACCGGTGACTATTGATGGCACGCCGTTGAAGGTGAGGGGGACTGTTGATGCAACCGTCGAGTGTGGTCACCTGCCGCCGCGGCGTCACACGGTACTGATTGTTGACAGTGTGAACACCGAATGCGTCCTCGGCAATGACTTCTTGTCCCTGTATGGCGAGGTGGCGCTCGACTTCGTGCACATGACTATGCGACTGACGGAGAACTCTACGGCCGACAGGCGTGTGACCGGCGGACGCAGCCTCGGCGAGAGGGCGGTGGTACCCGGCGGCCCAGCTGCAGTTGCGGCTATGGAGAGCCGTGACGCTGGCGGCCCAGCCGCGGCCGGTGCACCGGCTATCGACGGACACCCAGTCGAGCTCACCGCGGACGTCACCATCCCCGCGGCGTCTGAGGTTCTGCTGGCGGGCAGAGTGCGGGCCGACACTGCATGTGCACCCGGGCAGCACATCACCTTGGTCGAGGACAGCAAGTTCACACGACGCTACGGGAACAGCCTCTGCGTCTCGAGCTCTGTGGACGTCATCAGGACAGACAGCGCTGTTCAGTTGCGGCTGTGTAACCCGGGTCGAAGTGCAGTGAAGTTGTACAAGTCGTGCACTGTCGCCCGATGTGTCGGCTACGCGGATCCGCCGACAGTGCGTGCCTCGCCGCTGAGCGATCTCAGCCGGGAGGAAAGGGAGGCAAGAGAGCGACAGCTGGAAGACATGGTCCGCAGCAAGGTCGCCGAGTCGGATGTGACGGACGAGCAGCGCCGTGCCCTGGCGGCGGTCCTGCTGCGACGCAACGGCGCGTTCTCCGTACGGGGAGAGGTCGGTATGTGCGACCTTGTGAAGCACCGCATACGTCTGAAGGACCAGCATCAGCTGCCCATCCGGATACCCCCGCGCAGAACCGACTGGGAGACCCGACGGAAGACCGAAGAGTTCTGTGAGGATCTAATGCGGAAAGGACTCATCCGTAGAAGCCACAGCCCGTGGAGCGCGCCCGTCGTCATGTGCAAGAGGAAGGACGGTAGCAGTCGGCTCACCATCGACTACCGAGGCCTCAACAAAGTGACCGAGTTCGACGCACACCCGCTGGTCCGGATCGACGACGCCCTGGACTGTCTGCAGAACAACAGCTTCTTCACCACACTGGACCTGGCCAGCGGATACTGGCAGTTCAAGATGGACGAGCGTGACATCGAGAAGACAGCGTTCTCGACCCACAGCGGCCATTACGAGTGGCTGAGGATGCCCATGGGGCAGAAGAACTCAGGCGCAACGCTGCAGATGGCGCTCCAGATGCTTCTGGCGGACTCGAACTGGCTATACACCCTGTCGTACGTGGACGATGTCATCCTATGGTCGAAGGACTTCGACACGCACCTGAAACGACTGGACGACATCCTGGGGAGATTCGCGGACGCCAATCTGCTCTTGAAGCTGGGGAAGTGTAGTTTCGCCAAGAAGGAGGTACGCTACCTGGGGTACCTCGTGACCCAGGACGGCATCCGCCCTGATCCAGACAAGCTCAAGGCCGTAAGCGACTACCCGACGCCAGCATCGCACGAGGAGCTTCAGAGGTTCATCGGTCTGACATCCTACTATCGGCGCTTCTGTCCCAAGTACGCCGACATGGCCAAGCCGCTGCTGAGACTGTTGGAGAGGAAGGCAGACCGTACTTTCAAGAACGGCTTCAGATGGACTACAGAGTGTGACAGTGCGTTCCAACAACTGAGAGGCGTTCTGGTGACTGCGCCAGTCCTGGCGTATCCCAAGATGGACAGCGACTTCGAGCTGACGACTGATGCCTCCGATGTTGGGATCTCCGCGATCCTGTCTCAGAATGGCCGGCCCGTCGCGTTTGCCAGCCGAGTGTTGGCAAAGGCCGAACGTAACTACTCGACCACGGAGAAGGAGTGTCTTGGACTGGTCTGGGCCGTGGAACACTTCAGGGTCTACATCTACGGGAGGCGTTGCGTGCTCAGAACGGATCACAACCCACTGCTGGCTCTCGCCACCTCCAACAAGCTGAAGGGACGTCTCGCCAGGTGGGCTCTGAAGCTGTCTGAGTTCGAGCTCGACATCCAACACGTCGCCGGGAAGTCCATTCCCCATGCCGACGCGCTGTCCCGTGCGCCGGTCAGCGCCGTGCGTCTGACAAACACGGCTCTGGTGACACCGGAGGAGCAGGAGCGGGACGAGGCTCTGCGCTGTGTCAAGGACGGCATCGCGATCGGCAGGCTCGCCCAGACCGCTCCGGAAGGAGCACGACGGCTTTGGAGGAGAAGAGACGCGTTGAAGATCGAAGCCGGACTACTGATCAACAGATACAGGTGCCGCGGCCGAGAGCGCGAGCAAGTTGTCGTGCCGGCACACCTGGTGCCGGCTGTGCTGAGGCTGGCGCATGACGACCCCATGTCTGGCCATCAAGGAGGCAGGCGCACTCTGGAAAGGGTAAGAGACCGGTTCTTCTGGGTCACGATGACTGTGGATGTCTCCGACTGGTGCCGTTCCTGTCAGGTGTGTCTCCAGGTGAAGCAGCCAGACCAGCGCGACAAGGCCCCACATCAGCCGTTGCCTGTTCCGCTGCGGCCGTGGGACTTCGTGTCAGTTGACATCTGCGGACCATTCTCGCCCAGTCGGAGGGGTAACAAGTACATACTCGTTGTCACAGATCAGGCAACGAAGTGGACGGAAGCGTTCCCGATGGAGCGTCAGGACGCCGAGAGCGTGTGCAAGGTCCTCATGGATGAGATCATCTGTCGCTTCGGCGCCATGCGTCAGATCCACTCAGACCAAGGGAAGCAGTTTGAGTCTGAGCTCTTCCGCATGCTGTGTGCAAGGTTCGGCATCCAGAAAAGTCGGACAACTCCCCATCATCCACAAGGAAACCCGCAAGCGGAACGGTTCATGAGAACACTCGGCAACATGCTCCGGTCCTACGTGTCGACAAATCACGCTGACTGGGATGCACGGCTCCCGGAGGTCATGGCGGCTTACCGGACAAGCGTACATGAAACAACGGGACAGACTCCACATATGCTGCTGCTCGGCTATGAGGCCACGACTCCAACAGATCTCGCGGCAGGTCGCGCCCGAGATGACAGCCAGATAGCATCACGCCTC